CACTAGCTAAGTAGTTAAAAATTAAAAAAAAAAAGATCCTAAAAGCAAACTCTCTGAGATGTTGTCTTTAAAGAAAATATTGTGCAAAATCCTTGAGCACCTCCTCCCTCCCCCTCAACAGAGTTCAAGGAGAAATTTGTGTTTAGAAATGATTTTTCTTTTTTTTTTTTTTTGGTTCACTTCTGCTGTCTGGAAACAAACTGCAATATTCTTATCACCCAATCTTATACTAGCTGGAGCACTGATGAAGGAGAATTAAAAATACAATATACTTAGTTAACATTTCATACAACAGAATTGAAGCTCATAACATAGAAAAAAATCGTCATGCAAAATGTTATGCAACAATGTTATTTTGTGCTGACACTGAGATTTGAAAATGTTGCATATGTCAGACATCGCTAGACAAAAAAAAAATGTGGACATTTGGAAATAAATGCTCTCTTTTCGAGTCTCTTAAAACCTACGGTGTCAAACTCGAGAGTCTGAGCCTCAGGTTAGTATTCTACACAAAATTTCCAGAGAAATGAACAAAAAAGCAAACTAAACTAGAAAGCTGTCGAATAAAGGAAAGGTAGAAGTTTACGGTACTTGATTTTGGCCTAGGCATGCCTTTGAGCCTCTGATATAACATGCTGGTCTGCGTTTGGGTGGGTGGAGGAGGCCCAGGAGGTGACGGGGGAGCTGCTCGGGTAGGTGGAGAGAGACGGTAAAAAAGTAAAGAGACAAAGTGACTATCACGAAGGGTGACAAGTGAGATGACAAACTCTGAAAAGAACAACCAGACAGGCAAAAATGATAAGACGCGGATGGAGAGCCGTTGCTTTCCTGGCGTGACTGCAATGTGACAGAGGTGTGACGTTGTTTGACAAGGGATGGGACTCTTACCAGCATCACCAGCACCACCGGGCTGAGACGCTCAGAGGCTGAATGCAAATATGGGATGCCTTTATCCAGATGGATACACATGAATGATGGTGGCAGCACCATAGACATTTTGTACAATAAAGAACATCTCTACGTTAATCGCTGCCTCCTCCTTCCGGATGCTCGGAAACAGCCCTTGATGCAGTCACGGTTGGAGGAGCTGGCTTCTCACCCTCGGCCTGCTACTTAATCGTCCAGGTCACCTTGGACTGTCCACTTAAGCCTCTCTGTACTTCAGTTTCCTATTCTGTACATTGAGAATATTAACGTCTTTTTGGTATACCTTGCGGGGCTGCTGATGTGAGCAAACACAGCAGTTTACGGGACGGATCTCGGTAACACTTAAGGCGCCTGCAAATGTTTATCGTTATCCCTTACATTGTGAGAAGGCGGGAATTAACCGCTTTGCAAAAGCAGATGAAGGGCCGTTATTAGCTCAAGTGAGCCAGGGAATAGTCTTGCTCCCTTCGTGGAATTTCAACATGTCAAAATCTGTCATTTCAGGGAGCAAAAAAAAAAAAAAAAAGTGTGGTATCTGATTGTTTCCAGCTCATTTAATTATTTTCAATTTGGAATTCTCATGGCTTTTATATTGTGGGTTGAATCATATATAAAAACTTGCCAGCTTATCAAATATGTTAGTTGCTATTCCAAATGTTAGAATACCGTAGTCAGCATTTGACCCATCTGTCATGTGGTTTTCAATATCAGCACAGCAAACATCCTGTAACAATAGCCTCTCCTTCCACACAGGCACTGAGCGCCATCGGCTTCTCAAATTCTCTCTCTTTAATGAGTGTCTTATTAACCTTGGACCTGGCCCTTTCTAATGGTTCTCATTTATAAAGCGACCTGTCGGGTGAGGGGGACAAACTCTGTTGCCAAGTTTGCTTCTTGGTTTCCTTGAATTTTCAACTGGGAAAATGAGTTTTACTGCAGGCTTATAGGAAATGCAATTCTAGCAACATTAATTAAAAAAAGAAACAACATGAGAAGTAAGGATAAATGTAGTATTCTGTCAAAACTCTCTATTAAAAGCAAAAGTTGATGTCATCCTTTTCTTGTGGGATCATCTCAATGTTTTAAATCAAGGACTTACAAAAAAAATTATGTACCCAACTCCTCTTACTTAAATCTTTTGTTTGGGAAAGATCATGTGTAAACAGAATTTGGGAAAAATCAGTTTTAACTGACAGCTCTATAAAGGAAGGCAACTACTAACCCTTTCTTTACAAAAAAGTAGCCCACATTTTGTTTTGTTAAGAGCTGGTTTTCCACCTACAGCTGAGCGGACAGTTAAGTACCTCTCCTGGCTCTTTCAATGAGTGTGTGTTATCTGAGTGTGCAATTCTCACG